CATAACCTCAACCTCTAATCCTGCACATACTCATGTACATACACACAAACACACACACACTTTAAGAGATTTTTGAGAAACTTTACGGGAAAAGCTACACAATAGTAATCTCATGCTATCAGACATGACCAGTACACATATTACAGAGGCTGGAATGAAGAGAACTGGCCACAGAGAGCTGTGCTAATGTATATGGAGGAACTGGTACCCTCAACCTGCTATTGAAATGTTAAACAGTGAATAAGAGATTGGCAGTTTCTTTTGTTGCTGTTTTGTTGAGACAAGGTCTCTCTCATTCTGTAGCCCAGGCTAGACTACAACTCATTATGCAGCTTCTACTAGCTTCAGACTTGAAGCTGTCTCAGCCAAGTGCTGAGATTACAGGCATCAGCTACTGCACCTGGCTTTCCAAGTTTTCACATTGTTTTTTGTTTGGGGGTTTTCTAGGCAAGGTTTCTCTGTATAGCCCTGAAACCTCAGAGATCTGTCTGCTTCTGCCTCCTGAGTACTGCACAGTCACGCACTACCTCCGCCCAGCTGGTATGGTCCTCATGGGTTAAATATACCACTGCCACTTGATCCAGCCACTCCATTCCTAGGTATCTCTCCATTTGAAATGAAAAGTCTGTCTATCAAGTACACTTTGCAGCAGCTTCACTTGTAATAGCCCCCAAACAACCCACATGTTAATCAACAGATAAGCAGGAAAGTTGTGGTCTAGTAGACTACAACTCAAGAATAAAAACACAAACCACTGACACACCCGAGTACAACACAGGTGGATTTCAAAATAATGAGGCTGAGTAAAAGAAAATGTAAAACACTATAAAGTTTCAGTTATCCGCTATATAATCCCATTCATATAAAACTCTACAAAATGCAAATGCAGAGAACAGATTGGGACTTGTCCAGGAACGGATAGGAAGGCATAAGCTGAGGAAGAAGGAAAGGAGGAAGGGAAGTATGGAGAAACTTTGGGAGGTTAAGGACATATTATCTTACGTATCTGACTATAAGCTTTTGGTGCTTGGCTTTGATGGTAGTAGAGGTTGAACCCAGGACCTCAAGCATGCTAGACAAGCACTCTTCCACTGACCTCTTTTTTCTGTTTCTTGTGTGGTGAAGATAACTCCAGGGCCTTATACAGTGCATGCTTTATTACTGAGCTACAAACCCAGCGCCTAGCTATATTTATCTTGTTTGGATATGTCTAATGTTGATTGTATGACCCATATCAAAATTACTGTACAAACTTTAAATATGTGCAATTTATTGGATGACAACTGTACCTTAATAAAGCTGTTGAAACGACCCAGCAATAATCCAGGATTCTCAACCTTTCTAATGCTGAGACTTTTAATAGTTACTAATGTTGTGGTGACCACAACCATAAGATTATTTTCACCGCTACTTCATAACTGTAATTTTGCTACTGTTATGAAATGTAATGTAAATATCTGATATGCAGGATATCTGATATGTGACCCCTGTGAAAGGGTTGTAACCACAGATTGAGAACCATTGCAATAATCTATTCTTAGCTAAATAAGCACTTATATTTTTCATCCAGATGACTGAACTTCTAACTTGTCACTTTAAGCAGAAGCAAACCAACATATCCAGAAGATGCATAATATGCCAAGCACTGTATTAGTCACTTCACATGTGCTAGCCTTCCTATCAGCACCCAAGAGCTACTAGCTGTAAAACACAAGTGGGAGGAAAAATCCCATCCCCAAACTCTAGAAACCAGACAAGGCCTCTTCTCTCTCTCTGCTTAACCCCTCCAGTGCCTACAGACCAAACGTGAGATCAGCAATAAGCCAAAAGCAACAGAGGAATTTTTGTTCTGTTTATTTTAAGACAGTCTCACTATGTTGCCCGGGTACTCCTATAACAGTGTATTCCAGAGCGTCTTAACTTGTAATCCTCCTGCCTCAGCATTGGAAGTGCAGTACCACACCTAGCTAAAATCTATAAATTTAACTAGAATTTTCACTACAGTGGAAGATTAACACTGGATATTTAAATTTTATGTTTTTATATAATAATTTTTAACGGAAAAGAGCCTTGTTGCTTTTTAATAATGAAAGGAATTTAAAAAAAGAAAGAAAAGTGGGCTTAAGAAGGGACCCAGTGGTTAAGAAATACTGGCTGCTCTTCCAGAGGACCTAGAGGTCCAAGTCCCAGCACCCACATGGCAGCTCACAGCTGTCTCTAACTCCACTCCCAGAGTATCCAACACTCCCTTCTGGCTTCCTTGGGCACAAAGCACACATATATTGCGTAGACATACATTGTGGCAGAACATCCATACATATGAAAAATCACTGTTTTTTAATGAAAAGCACTAAAGAAGACATCTCCAAAGACTCAAATGTTGAGCACTCTTCCAGACCTCTGCCCTGTGAGGAGGGATCTAGACGAAAGACCACACTAAAGTAACTGTAGAACAGTGGTGCCCACAGGAGACAGGTCATGTCTGGAAACACCATTCCTAAGCGGAATTGCTATTCTATTAGCTGGATGTACATAATTAATTCTCTATAAATACCTGCAATGAACAGCACTTTCGTTGGGTCAAATATGGTTCTGTGTAATTAGCCAAGTAAGTAACCAACTTACTAGTTTTCTCACTGTATTTACTTAAACTCCTACTTATTTTCAAAAAGGATTTTTGGCTTTTCCAACTACAAAAGAGGATACCAATTGGCAGGCCTCTAAGGGTTCAACTTTCTCTCATTCATATTCTTAGAAATCATATTAATCTTATTTTAAATAATGTAACCATTTAAAATACAGAATATTTGACTAAATTTAAATATTGAAGCTGGAATATTGCTCAGCAGCAGAATGCCTGCTAGCAAGCTTGAGCCCCAGGTTCAATTCCTAGCCCTGCAGCAGGAGAGAACTTAAAACCAAGCTTAGATTTGGGGGTCCATCTTTTAGTACGCATTATGACAAGGTCTCAGAACCTAGTATTCTGACACTTTGAACTTGAATATTGTGACAGATTTCTCTATTCATTCAGCAGTGTCTAGCATACTATATACCTAGGAACAATTCCTCACAGAAAAAGTATTTCAAGATGTGGTTACTGCTCTATTGGCAAACTGTGTCTGGTTAAGCACCATGGTTAGTGTGGTCTACTCTCAAGGCACAGGTCTGTAAGAATGTCCAACATCTGAACATCCTGAACAGTGTCTTCCCCAGTGACTATTTTTTAAAAAGAGCCCTTAAATAAAGCAAAAAAAAAAGTTTATTTTCTTTTTAAAAATTCTATTCTTAAACTGAGGAAGCTAGTTCTACAAAAATGTCTAACGTGTAAAGCTGTAATGCATGTCATGTTTCCCAAGTTAGGACACACACACACAGTGTGACACACAGAACCACAGAAACCACATGTCAAAGGAATATAAAGAAACCAATCCTTAATCAACCAAGGCGGTTAATTTAAGAAATCCCAATCCCCTGTTGTAACTCAGCTCTTTAGTTCTGCATTTGTGCAGTCCACAGCTCGTCTCAAGTGAGTGTCACGTTCCACTCAAGTGTCCAGTTTCAAACCGCCATTATTTTGTAATTCACGATGACTCTGTACGTCTCGGTCCTATCTTTTCAGCCAAATCTTGCTCCAGTGACAACTCCAGAATGAAAATAAAATGTTTAAAAACCTCTACCATGTTTAAATGGTTTACATAAACTGGATTTAATTCCTTTCTCATTATACCAGAGGAATAAGAACTTGGGCTAAAGGTACACAGTCATACACGTAGGGAGGATGAAAATCAAATCAGACACACAAAATCTGGACTTCATTTGGACTTCGTCAGCTCAATAGAAACATGGCTTACCTTACACTTTCTCATTTGTACGAAAAAAAAAAGGCAATAAGATCTCTGTTTCCAGAAGATTGCAAAGATCTGTAATAATTCATGTGAAATCCTTTATTGATGGTTAAGCACCACACAGATGTTGGGTGTTATCAGTGGCGTTGGTCAACACACTAAGGAAATATATCCCTGAAACAGACACACCACTAAACTAGCAGTCATTGGGAAGGAGGCTTAAGACGATAAACTTTGATTTAGAATCCAAGCATCTGGGCTCTAACCTCAGTTATGCTATTAATCTATACATGAACTCTGGCCAACTTAACTTTTCATCTCTAATTTCTTCATCAAGTACAGAACCAAAAGTTCCGTAAGTACATTAATTCAGTCCTTACCAATGTTATCTATGACCAAGTATCCAAAACCCTCATTTAACATTCTATCCCAAGCTCATCTCGGTTCGATCTTTGGAAAAACTGAAGTTGAAGACGGCTGACAGCAAGAAAATTTTTAATGAAAACTGACAGTTCTCGCGAATCTTGTTCTCTATATTTAGTTTTTCCTTCTAAAGGGCAGCAAATGAAGAACAGGGTGTATTGAGGGTAGGGCGGGTTCCTTTCCCACAAGCTTCAGGAACCACCCACTTCCCAAAGAGGTGTAACTGCTTCCTCCAGGCCCTCACCTGCCAAAAAAACTTGAAAGACTACGGGTTCCACTGCCCGAGCGAGCAGTTTGCTTTCCTTTCCACTTGGGCGGGGATGGCAGTAGTCATCTAGCAAACACACCCTCTAAACACCATTACCCCAACACCAAGTGTCCCTGAAGTCTCACCAAGGACTTAAGTTTCTAGCCTGACGCTCGTTTTTTGTTTTTTGTTTCTTTAGAAAAAGAATTCAGACCACGAACTCAAATGTGGGTCCCTCTGTCTTGGTGCGGCTTGGTTTGTGCCAACTGCCAAGCTGCCCCTTCCCTCGCCGCCCGCCCGCCTGCCCTCCCACGCGTGGGCACAGGCGCCGCCGGCCGGCCCTCACTCCCGACCGCGCCAGGTCGCGAGGGCGAACCCGGAGTTCGCTCGCTCGCGGGGTGACGGGCCGGGCAGCGAGGCCGAGGCGTCGCCACTCCCCCCACCCACCCCTCACCCCCTGCGCCCCGGGTCGCTCCTCTCCTCACCGATGACGATGCGCAGGTGCTTGAGGCGGGTCAGCGCGTCCTTCTTGGTGTCCAGCACCTTCTGGGTGGACTTCTTCACGTCCCCGTGCGGCTTCTTAGAGAACATCCTGCGGCCGCCGCGGCCCCTCCCGGCCGGGTCCCCCCGGCCGAGCGCAGGCGGTGGGCGGGGAAGAGGCTTAGCCGCGGCGGCTCATGCGCTCCCCCGCCGCGCGGGCCGCGCTGCCAGGCCCGCCTCGCGCCGCCGCCGCCACCGCCGCTGCAGGGAACTTGCGGCTCCGGCTCCAATATGGCGGATCCGCCCCGCGCGCTGCAGCGACAAGGAGACGCTGAGCGGGGGCCGCCGCCCAGGCCGCGGCCCGGGCCCCACAGCCGCGGAGAAGGAGCGCTCCGCCGCGGCGCCACTCCTCGCTTCCCTGAGGCCCCCTTAAGGTTGAAGCTTCTCCTGCAGCTTCAACCGCGCAGAGGCCCAAACCCAGTCGTGTGGGGATGGAGTTTCACGACGCTGCCGTCGGTGGCGAACGGTCCCCCTAGCAACCGCCTTCTGACGTCAAGTGCTCGTGACGTCATGCTAGCGTGAGCTCATGCCTGCCGCTATTATCTCTCGGTTTCCTGTGTTCGCACACAAGGAGAAGGGCAAGAAAGTTAAGGAGGGTGTTCTTTACCGTGTGCTCGCTGTAAACAGCAGTACCTAGAGTTTTGTTTTGAAAAGGTCTTTCATCTCCGCTCTTCTAGTAACTTAAACATCAAAGCAGATGGGCAAGGCCAACTTAATGCCAGCGCTGAACCCTTGGCTGTGATGTCATCTCACTTTCACTTTCTAATTTGGATTCTCCCTGTGTTTTGCAAAATAATAATCAAAAATGTACTGTGCTTTAGAGATGTGCAGGCGTGTGGTACATCCTTTTCCTTTAAATTACCATGCAAGTGGATGGCAAGGGCTACGGCTTGTCTGTAGGTTGACCAGTGGGGCTGTTTTACTCTCAAATCTTCAGGCAAGCTTTATTTATTAAAATACAATTAAAATACCACTACAAAGTTCTGCTTTTAGACCTCTTTTTTAAAAATGTGTCAGAAATGAGGGAAAATTCTTTGTAAATATTAAAACATGAGCTGGGTAGTGGTGGCGCATGCCTTCAATCCCGACATTCAAGAGGCAGAAGCAGGTGGATCTCTGTGAGTTCAAGACCAGCCTGGTCTACAGAGCGAGTTTCGGGACAGGCTCCAAGATATACAGAGAAACTCTGTCTTGAAAAACCAATATATATATATTTCAATAGTTATTAAAGCATGATTTCTAACTGTATAAACTAACAACATGACCGTTCCATGCCATGGTTAAGGGCAAGACTTTTTTTGTAGATATGAGAGAACAGTCAGAGGCATCTGGAAGAGTCCAGAGAAGACAGAGAAAGTCTGAGAGAGAAAGAGAAGGACTGAACATGGCCAGGAGAGGAACAGAGCAGAGACTGAAGTAAGAGGACCTAGTGGGTAGTAGGTACCACCCCTGGGTAAATGAACCTGATACTGTACGTGCAAACCATGGGGAACAAGCCAGAAGCATCATTTCTCTCTGTCTCTGTTTCAGTCCCTGCCCCCAGTTTCAAGTCTTAACTTCCCTTCTTAAAGCAGAAATAAACCTTTTCCTCTGCAAGTTGCTTTTGGTCATGGTGTTCATCAATAAAAACCTAACTGGGGCAGCCATACAACTGTGAAGTGATTGCTGTGAACACTTTCTAGAATGTTTTTATTAGTATTATATTTGTTCTATATGATAATGCATCGCATCATGACATTTCAGACATACACATCATGGATTACTCTCGCTTCACCTTTCCTGGATCCCTGTCTTGCCTCCCACTCCCCCATTCCTCTCGAATTTTCATGTCTCTTTAATGTGTGTAATCATAAGGAAGCCCACCCTCACTCGGTGGGAAAAAAAATGAGACAAAAACAGAACAGCTTGTTATGATTTATTTTTAATTTATGTGCATGAGTGTTTTTCCAGCATGTGTCTAAGTACAGTGTCCATGCAGTGCTCTCAGAGGCCGGAAGAGGATGTCAGGTCCCTTGGAGCTGGATTTAACAAGCCGTCATCAACCACTCCGTGGGTGCTGGGAACTGAACCTGCAGGTGCTCTTAATCGCTGAGCCATCTCTCCAGGCCCAGCAAAACCGTCTGTACTATATGATGCTACAGAATAGGATGCCACCATAGAAGAAAGGCAAAAATGGCTGGCATGCCAACTTGGCACAAAATAGCGTTTTGTTTGGTGAAATTCTCTATGGCAAGAAATTCCTGCTGTCTTTTTCTGTAGGCTGGTTCTCCAGAAAGATACTATTCTTGTCCTTTCCAAATTCTCCATCCTGCTGGTTTGACAGACTGTCTGGTACTTTCCACGCCTTAGTGCTCCAAGGCCAGCGTGTGCCAACCTCCAGCTAGGAGAGAGGGGGACATAGCACCTCTTGCACACTTGTGAGTCCGATGACCTCCAAGAACACCTGAAACATGAACCGTATCACTTATCTTCCACATGACCCAATGCATTTCATTAGGGTTATTTACAGTCTGGGTAAGAGTTTGCTTAAGGAGCCGTGGGCAGCGTACCAGAGACTATGCGGCTGAAGAAAATGGCTCTCCATGTCTCTCCATCCCTCATCTGCCATAAACTGCATATGGATTCTCAAGGAGGCTCGGGGCCCCACAAACTACTTGTTCCACTGCAGCTGTGTGTTGATGGGTCCAATCCTGAGCAAATTTTCAGCAGGTAACCAAGTAACTCACAGAGCTGCTGGGAGTTCAAGAGGGCAACAGCCTACCATAGGCTGGTCAGTGTTCCAAACCTATTCCACTTCCCAGCTCTTAGAGTCTTTCCTCCCCTTCTCTGTTGGCAGCTGTGCGGCCCAGTTTCAAACCAGCGTATGAGAGCTTGTCAAACAGGTCTCAGCAAGGACCAGTGGACTTCGGGGTAGTGCAGGATACTGCTGGGGCCTCTCGGCCTGCATGCTCTCTTACCTCTCGTTACGTTGATGATTCTCTTGGTTATTTTTAGTGTCATCTTGTCAGTCATGCGTGGGGCAGATGTGATCATTACTGGAACCCTATTTTTTTCTCGAATATTTTCCCTCCAAATTCTTTGGGAGCTGATGCTTCTCAGGTTTCTTGTCTGGGGGTGCAGCTGTCACTCCAGACCCCAGGAGCTGTTCTGACTCAATGCAGACAGGATTGGAGGCAGGTCTTCCCTATTTCTGTAAATATGTTTTGAATGAGATTGTTGTTCCTGAAAATATGTGCCTATGTCAATCACCTTTTAGTTCTGGCTATGGCTGGACTGAGGCACTTCGCCAGTGTTCCTTGTCCCTCTTTAAAGAGCAATATGGGTGTCCCATAACAGCCCGGCAGTCAACAGTCAATATCTATTCTCACTTCTTTGGTAAGTTATGATTCTGCAATAACCGCTGGCCACTGAAACAGAAGCTTCTCCTACCAAAGCTGACAGCAGCATATTTATGTGCATAAACCTAGTTATTTAGAAGTAAACTTGATAGTCGCATCCTGTCAATCTAGCAAAACAACAGTAATTCTCTCCGAAAGGGCTCGGACCTCCCCAGCCACAGGCTTTTGAGTAGATTTACAATGTGGATTTCGTCCTGTGGAGAAGATATCGAATACCAGGAGGAAGCTAGTGGTTACTCTGGGAACAGAATTCCTACTGTTGCAGCAGAGGCCTCAGCTCGCCTGTCCAGTTAGTTTGGTAGCAGTGTCCGAAGCTGAAGAAAGGCTATCGATTGCTATTCTCCCTCTGAAGCGTGCATAACACCTTCCAGCACTATGAGAGCTAGGCTGGCGTGGGTGGCTGCCAGCCCAGCTCTAGCTGGATAGCTGCATTAAATGCATTTGGCTGGCTTCAGCAGTGGGCCTCACCATCTACTTCTGATGAACAATCAATAGTAGTGGCAATTGCCTGGATAGTTTGGGGTCTTGCTTCTAAGCAAGGCTTCATTATATATTTATATATTACATATTATACATATAATAAATATGTAGATATAATATGCAACATAATATATATGTAATAACTTATATAGAAATACATAATATAAGCCAGGCAGAAGGTGGCCACATGCCTTTAATCCCAGTACTCAGGAGGCAGAGGCAGGCGGATCTCTGTGAGTTTGAGGCCAGCCTGGTCTACAAGAGCTAATTCCAGGACAGGCTCCAAAGTTACAGAGAAATCCTGTCTCAAAAAACAACAACAAAAAAAGAATACATAATATATATAACAATGCATATTATATATTTATATACTTATATATTTAGAACCTCCAAATTCCCCTACCTCAGCCTCCTCAGGGCTGTAGTTATAGGTATGCAACATCACACTCAGCTATGAAGCCTTTTGTTTATTTTATATTTATTTCTATGCATATGTGCATGTGTGGAGGTCAGAGCACAATTGATGGGAGTCACTTCCTTCCTTCCACCATGTAAACTAGTGATTAAATTCAGTTCACCAGGCTTGGCTTACCTTCTGAGTCATCTTGTTGGCCCTGGGACATTTCGTGGCATGAAAGATACTTGGCAGTATCAGATGGGAAAAAAAAAAACAAATACATGGTTCAGTCCCTAACAATACAAAAAAAAATGTGGATACAAAATGAAAATGTGTACACTATTAAATTTTGAGAGACATTGTATTTGTAAAATAATTGGAAATAAAAGTGGAAAATACTCCTAAATAGCGATTATATTTACAAAGTAGAATTGCAAGTATTTTTAATTTTCTTTTTTAATATTTTTCTCAGTTTCTATTTTCTTTACAAAAAGTATATGCTGTTTTTATAAAAAAAAAATTTAAGGGGGCTGGAGAGATGGCTCAGAGGTTAAGAGCACTGCCTGCTCTTCCAGAGGTCCTGAGTTCAATTTCCAGCAACCACATGGTGGCTCACAGCCATCTATAGTGAGACCTGGCGCCCCCTTCTGGCATGCGGGCACACATGGAAGGAATGTTGTACACATAATAAATAAATAAATCTTTAAAAAAATTTTAACAAAGAAAATCTAGTGCACTCATCTTATGTGTACACATAACATGTGTATGTGCTCACATGCTATGGAGACAGGTCAGCAGTGAGTGTCTTCCTCAATTACTCTTCACCATTTATTTATTTATTTATTTACTTATTATGAGGCAGGATGTCATTACGCCATCCTGGCTGGCCTTGAACTCCCAGAGATCCACCTGGCTCTGCCTTCCAACTGCAGGGATTAAAAGGCATTCACAACCACACCGGGCCTCCACCTTATTTTTTTAAAATATTTATTGTCATTGTTTTTAATTGTAGGCGTGTGTGTGGTGTGTGTGCATAGTGGTGTGCACCCATGTGCACAGATGCCAGAGGTGTTGGATCCTCTGGTGCTGGAGCTATAGGGGTTTCTGAACTTCAGACATGGGTGTTGGATGAACTGAGGCAGCATGCAGGAGCAGTACATGTTCTTAATCACT